TTCCTTAGTGAAACTTCTTGTTAATTGAAAACCTCTTTGTTAACTGGCTTGTGTAACTATGGTGATCTGATGTTACTATGGTTATTGACTTTGCCCCTGGCATGCATGATGTAATTGTGGTTTTAAGCTTTATAAACCTTGCCCTGCTTCTCCTTAGGGTCAAGAGTTCTTTTGGGCATTAGTGCCTTCCACTGACAGCTATTATTAAAAGACTCTTTTTAAAAATAGAGCTTACACAATTTTTATTGCCACATTAAGTACACATTTATGTGATATAGAAGAGTATTTTAATGCATGTATACAATGTATATACATCATTGGGTGAGGATAACTGATGTATCTATTACCTCAAACACATCGTTATCTGTTCAAAGTCTATTGCTAATTAATTGTTAAGCATAGTTAGCCTATGCTTATACGTCATCACATTAGAAGACATTTTCCCTTTGCAAGTTCTCCCCCGCGAGCCTGTTAATTATACTTTCTTCTCTTCCCCTCCCCCTACCCTTAAATGGTTCTTAAAACCAATATTCAAACTTTCTATTTCTATGAAATTAATTTTTTTAGTTCCAACAGACAAGTGAGAAATTGAACCCCTCCTTCTATTTTAGCTCTAGTATGATTATTTTATTTTGTCAAATGTAATTCATAATTTAGTGTGGATTCAGGAAAGTATTGAACTCATGGGTGGCACTATAAACATAGCCAAACACACATGGCTACAGAGGTCATAGATTCTAGAGAAAACCCTATCATATCTCTAGACAAATGAAATTTCTTACTGTGTGCTAAATATGGATCCTTATATTTACAGACAAGTATACTGTATGCCACTAATCAAAGAAGCTTCTTTTCGAAGCAGATGGAGGCTATTACAGAGCTCCACACTGGTCACACATAGTTGGAATATGCGTCTGAGAAATGCCTAGCCCTAAATGATACATCTACAGTGGAACCTCTACACCTAAGGCTCACGGAGCATAGTGGAACAAAGGGTAGAGAGAATGCTAATACATCCTCAACTCTTACCAGAGAGGCTTCCTTATGCAATAGAATGCGATGCACACAGAAGGCCACAGCTGGCCGAGATGTAGACAATAAGAGACTGCAGAGGGTGTGTCCCTGGATAGGACTCCTGTATTAAACCTCACCTACCCATGGTTCAGGGACCATTGCGGAAGAGGGGGCAGAAAGATTGTAAGAGCCAGGGGTGGTGCATGACCATAAGGACACAGTCTTCCAAGCCTCTGGGAGTTTGGGCATATGAACTTGCAGCAATGGTTACAGTATGTATAAGACCCGTGCTAACTCAATCAGATAAAAACCCAGTATACAACTAGGGAAATTGGCAGCAGGGACCCAACCTTAGTCGAGGAAGTATTGACAACAGATTGCTGCTGGGTGAGGGAGAGCTGATGTTCTTTTTTTTTTGGTCTTTTTGAGACAGGGTCTCCCCAGCTGACCTGGAGCTTGTTGTATAGACCAAGCTGGCCTCGAACTCACAGAGATCCGCCTGCCTCTGCCTCCCAAGTGCTGGGCTCAAAGGTGTGCACCACCACTCCTGGCTGAGTTGATCTTCTTTAAGGGAGTGGCTCTCAACGGGCTGACTAGACTCCAATGACCGAACTTGCGCCAAGGGATATCTGCGTACAAAAGCTTAACCAGATCGGCCTTAACAAGTATGACAGAATGCATGAAATCTGGTGGAAGGTGCTATGGGAGGGTGCATCTAAACATGATGAAGATCTATTGTACGACATGCACAAAAACTTAATGTACATTAAATTAAAATTATAAAAAGTTTCCAGCATTATCATGCAAATTTATAATTTTATTTTTCTTTACTACTAAATAGGTGTATAAAATTCTCAAATAATCAATAAAAATACTAAAAATCAAGAATTTAACTGAGACCAAGTCGGTAGTACACACATGAACTGAACATTGTAGGATAAATATTTTCTCTTCAGCTGCAAAGACAGAAAGGAGCGGTAATCCCAAATGTAGACGCATTATTGTTATCAAATTCCTGAAAATACTGGCCTGCTCATTCTGAGCACATTCAAGAGCGATTCGGCATAAATATTATATTGGGAACTACAATCATGGATACAATAAACAGACAGATGGAATTCAGTGCTTTCCTGAATCCATATTAAAGGACTTGATTCAACCCAAACTGCACGGCGTTTCTTGCTTGATATCACAGTATGAAGGTGAACTGCAGAACCACAGAGATATGTAAGGAGAATTGAACCGAAATCATTAAAATGAAGAGCTATACCAGTACGTTATTTAGCTCAGACTAATCATAACAAATTTGTCTCATATTTTAAAAGTCCTAATCTACATGATAAATGTGCATGTATGTAAGGTGGATGGGCTATGCGTGTGTATGTGTTTGTCCACAGGGTCTCTCGCTGAACCTGGAGCTCTCCCCTTTGGCTAGGCTGGTTGGCTAACAGTGGGATCTGCCTGTCTCTCCTTCCTAATGCTTGGGTTGCAATCCACACTAAAGCATCTGCTGTTTACATGGTTCTGGGGTACGAACTCGGGTTCTCATGTATGTACAGAAAGCACATTACTAACTGGGCCGTCTCTCAGTCCCATGAAAAATATACTTATTTCTTAATTTAAAAAGAAACGAGAGAAGGGCTGGAGAGACAGCTCAGCGGTTAAGAATACTGGCTGTTCTTGTAGAAGACCCGGGTTTGAATCCCAGCACTCACATGGCAGCTAGCAACTGTCCATAACTCCAGTTCCAGGGGATCCGACAGCCTCTTCTGTCCTCCACGGGCATTGCACAACATGGGTGCAGTTACCTACATTCAGGCAATACATGCACACACATAAAATAAAACAATAAATAAAATACTTTTAAAAAGAAATGAGAGAAAACCCCAGGACTGTCACATCGCTAGACTAATGTGGTTTCTTACTATGTACAAAATATGTATCCTTATATTTACAGACAAGTACCCTGGTCACCACTCATCAAAGAAGCTCATTTGTACCAGTCAGAACCTATTACTAAGTACTATACCTGGTCACACATGGACATTGTCTGTGAATTGCCAAGGCCTACGTGACACATGTACAATGCAACCTCTGGACAAAAGGCTCATGGAACACAGAACAGGGGTAAAGAAGGGGACACTAAGGAGGGGAGAACAACACGTCTTGGGATAGTGGATATGATCCCGCCCCTACTGGACACTTAACACCATGACAGTGGGCCAGGGGGAAGAATAAGTGGAGAGCACATCACACCACAGAGGGCCGGGTCCCCACGCTCATCAGGGAACATTGGAGCTACCTTCGCCTGGGCCCTGGCACCACAGGTCCACTGACCAGTTTCCTTTCTGGTTACCTACATTCAGGCAATACATGCACACACATAAAATAAAACAATAAATAAAATATTTTTAAAAAGAAATGAGAGAAAACCCCAGGACTGTCACATCGCTAGACTAATGTGGTTTCTTACTTTGTACAAAATATGTATCCTTATATTTACAGACAAGTACCCTGGTCACCACTCATCAAAGAAGCTCATTTGTACCAGTCAGAACCTATTACTAAGTACTATACCTGGTCACACATGGACATTGTCTGTGAATTGCCAAGGCCTACGTGACACATGTACAATGCAACCTCTGGACAAAAGGCTCATGGAACACAGAACAGGGGTAAAGAAGGGGACACTAAGGAGGGGAGAACAACACGTCTTGGGATAGTGGATATGATCCCGCCCCTACTGGACACTTAACACCATGACAGTGGGCCAGGGGGAAGAATAAGTGGAGAGCACATCACACCACAGAGGGCCGGGTCCCCACGCTCATCAGGGAACATTGGAGCTACCTTCGCCTGGGCCCTGGCACCACAGGTCCACTGACCAGTTTCCTTTCTGGGCAGGTGGTTCTGGACTGTATAAGAGACGTAGCTGAACAATCCAGAGGAACAAGCTGGTAAGCAGCATTCCTCCCTGGTCTCCACTTCAGCTCCTTCCCTGCCTGGGCTTCTCCTCAGGGGTGGACTGTGATTGGGAATGTAAGCCAAATAAACCCTTTCTTCCCCAGGTTGGGTTTGATAACCATTTCCTCACAGCAACGGAAAGTAAACGACGACAGTGACTCAGCAATGACGGAACACAAGCAGGGAGAGACTGAGATGTGGGGACATGGTGGCCAGGACTGACAAGGGGTGCTTCCCAGCAGCATGACCCGAGAGTTTTCTCCTCTACAGTCTCCAAACAAGTGGAGAGCATGTATCGAGATCTGGCACAGGGCCACACACGGCAGAACTGCGGTATCCTGTCTGAGCTGCTGTCAGAGGGTGCCCTGCCACTGGAATCCATCAAGGCCAACTCTCTGGAATTCACTGTTGGAGTGTAGACACGGTCTGGTCCCACGTGGAACATGAAACCCACCCCCAACTCCCTGGCAGTGTCCATCAAAGCACAACCACTCAACAGCCCCTTCCTAGCCTGGGCCCTAACAGTCCTATTCCCTCAGCTTGGCCTTCAGCTGTGAGGCCAAGGAAACTTCTGAGTAGAGAGAAAGGGTATCCTAATGGGAGGGAACTAGAGATGAAGAGGGAGGGGGAGAGGAACAGGGAGGGGGAGAGGGAGAGGGAACTCATGGTTCACCATGGAGTGGCTCACTGAGGCAGGAGGAGGGGTCTGGACAACTGAGATCCATTTCCGTTAGGGGCTGTGAGGCCCATGCAGAGGGACCTGTGGATAGTCAATACCAGTCAGACACTGGGGCAGGTGGAGGCAGCTCTGAGTGTCCTTGAATGAAGCTGAGGGTCTCCCCCAATAGCCACCAGAGCAGGCTGTGAGCATCAGACCCTGAAGGTGCTGAGGTGGTGGCCAGGACTGGGACGTCTTGGGCTTTCCCTTCAGGACTGAGGACAAGGGATCAGGCTAATGCTACGACCTGGGGGTCAGGACTCCCTGGGCCCCACCCTGCTCTGGCCATGCACTTCTCCCACAGAGGGGCACCTTCAGGGCTGGGGTGCCCTTTGGGGAGGGTCGGGGCCCATGTCTGATCCTTGCTCCACTGCTGCTGCAGACAGCTATGCCCTCGCTAACGACCCTCTTTGAGCTGGCTCGGAACCCGGATGTGCAGCGGGCCCTGTGGCAGGAGAGCCTGGCAGCTGAGGCCAGCATCTCTACGAATCCTCGGAGGGTCATCTCGGACTTGCCCCTGCTGCGGGGTGCCCTCAAAGAGACTTTGAGGTAAGTGCTGACTGCCCCTGCCTGGCTGTCCTGACCACTCTGATTTCTGGTGCCTGAGGCCAGCCATGGGATGGGGAGCCCCTCTGCCAGGAAGGCACTGTCCCTCAGCCCTTCTTCCCCTGGCCGGGAAGTGCCCTTCCTCCGGGATGCCCCTCAATGTCCTGTGGCCATCCTGACTCGTCCTTCCTGCCTGGGCTCAGCACGGGGAGGTTGGCTGAGCTCAGCAGTGCTGGGAACCACCCTCTCGTGACCAAGGCAGCCTGTGTCCTGGGGGCCTGAGGAGGCAGGTGGAGATGTGGACAGGAGTCCTGTCGGCGCTGAGGCCCCTCCCTGTTGGCTTCCCACCCCAGGCTCTATCCCGTGGGAAGCACTGTAGAGAGAGTTCTAAGCTCAGACTTGGTGCTCCAGAACTACCACATCCCTGCCGGGGTGAGTGAGCCCCACACACCCACCATCACCTCTGCTCTGCATCACCCGAGGGGCTCCTGACCTTTCCCTTGTCATCATCTGCCCACAGACATTGGTCCTGTTTAATCTGTACTCGATGGGCCGAAACCCTGCAGTGTTCCCAAGGCCCGAGCGCTACAGCCCCCAGCGCTGGCTGGACAGGAGGAGATCTTTCCAGCACCTGGCCTTTGGCTTTGGGGTGCGGCAGTGCCTGGGGCGGCGCCTGGCAGAGGTGGAGATGCTGCTTCTGCTGCACCACGTGAGCAGCTCACGGTGGGGTCTGTGAGACCGACGCAGCAGGGCCTCCAAACGCAGTGTTAGGGCCAATAGAACGGGACTTGAGTCTATCTGTGCTTCCTGTGCCCCGAGTCCTTTCTAGAGCATGCTGGTGTTTGCAGAGCACCACGGGAGGGTCCTCCCTGCAGCATGGTGGCAGCATGCAGCCCCTGCTCAGGAGCTGGGCCAGCGCCCTGCCCTGCTGAGGATGCCAGATGGAGCCCTGCTTCTGTTCCAGGTGCTGAGATCCTTCCAGGTGGAGACACTGAGGCAAGAGGACGTGCGGATGGTCTACCGCTTCGTTTTGGTGCCCAGCTCTTGTCCCCTCCTCTTGTCCACTCTCCGGCCTGTTGGCTAGTCACACATCCTCATTTGGGGGCCCAGGGTGGACAACACGCCTTCTAACGCTGCCCCGAGCTTCCTCTCCACTCTCCCTATGGGCACGGCTTCTATGGTACACGCTTGTCCTGCCTGGCCCGTGTTCTAGATTTCACAGTCCGTGCACCATGGCCAGGGAAAGGCTCAGGAGGATGGGAGGCAGGAGGGTCTGGCCCGCGGTTTCTATCCCTTCCAGCAGTTATTCCAGCCTGGTGTTGTGGCCATCCGAGTGACCGTATATGATGGTTTTCTCTTCCTATCTAGTCTCAAATATCCCTGGTTATAGCCTCAAAACCTCTTTGTGATCTTTGAGTGTCGTGAAAGAGGAACCCAACTTTTGAAAGACTGGGTTGAGTTCCCTCTTGGTGACCTGCCTTCCCAACCAGCTCAAGTTGACAGTTTGAAGATGTGTCCTACATAGGGTCCTCCTGACTCCTCAGAGACCTGATGCATTCTAATCACCTGCATTACGGTTTCTGACATTCCTCCCCTTTTGTGGAGCTCATGGGAGAAAATACCTAAAAGGGAGGTCTGATCCACCGTGATTTGGAGGCAAAAGGGGTCACGTTTCCTTGGGATTATGTTCCCTGTCTCATCAATATACTTTAAAATCTACAGAGTGGAGTCAGCTAGGCTGCTGCTCCAAGGGGCCGCCCACTCCAACCAATCATCGGAGAGCTCTGCTTAGCTTTCCTAAAAACTGGTGCTTCACTAAACACACACACACACACACACACACACACACACGCACGCACGCGCACACACACACACACACGCACGCACGTGCACACACACGCACGCACACGCACACACACGCACGCACGCGCACACACACACACGCACGCACGCGCACACACACACACACACGCACGCACACGCACACGCACACACACACACACACACACACACAGGGTTGGCTGTCCTGCTATGTAACTTCAGGGTGGCCTCCAATTTGTGATCCTCCTGCCTCAGCCTCCTGAGTGCTAGGATTGTAGACATGCATTGCCATACTGGCTCT